CTCCGGCCGGGTATCGAACCGCTGTTGCTCAGAGCTCAAACTCTTGAGCGAGCTCTTAATCATCTGAGCCACTCGGCCGGCCCTGATGGTGACTCTTTTTAATGATGTGCCTATCCAGAAGTTTGCATGGGAAAACTATCTCTAATATAAAAGTAAATTCTCTCTGAATTTCTCTTTATTTCAAAAAAGCTACTTTAGTTGTTTACCAGTAGTATTTATTTGGTATCTGATATTTATACATACATTGTTTTCCTTGATACTCTGGGGAAAATAAAGAAATGGAGGATGGAATTTAATTGGTCTGAGTTTACATTCTAAGAGGAGAAATATTTTGCTCTAGTGTATATATGGACATTTGCAAATGGTGTATTTATTTTACATTGTTGGAGCATAAACTCTTACAGATATCTTACTGGGTAACCAAACCTACTCCTTTAAATGTCTGAGGTAAAAAACGAACCACTTTATTTTACAGGGGACTCTTGTCTGTCTTTTAAAATAATGAATATAATTTGAACTTTTTTTTTTAAGACTCAGGACAGTCATTTATTTGGTGTACTTTTGGGCTCCTGGTCTGTGTAAATTTATCGTTACGCTTTTGACTTTATTATTTTACTTTATTTTTTTAAAGACTTTTTATTGGGGAGTTGGGGGACGGAACACTGTTGGGGAATTGGGGAAGAGAACACTGTGTTTTTCCAGGATTCATCAACCCCAAGTCATTGTTATTGTGGAAGGCGCAGCTCAGCTCCAAGTCCAGTCGCCATCCGACCGCTCAGTGGCAGCTCGCGGCCGCTCAGCGCAAGGTGCCGTGTTTAATCTTAGTTGTGGGTGGGCATAGCCCACCATCTCATGTGGAAGTCAAACTGGAAAAAACCTTGTTGCTAAGAGCGCACGCTCTAACCACTGAGCCATCCGGCCGCCCGTTGGCAGCTCAGGGCAGCTCAGCTCAAGATGCTGTGTTCAATCTTAGTTGTGCTTGGGCGTAGCCCACCATTCGAACTGGCAACCTTGTTGGTAGGAGCATGTGCTCTCACCAGCTGAGTCATCCTGCCACCTGTTGGCAGCTCAGTGGCAGCTCAGCTCCGGTGCAGCTCACTGGCCCATGTGGGAATCGAACCGGCAACCCTGTTGCTCAGAGCTCATGCTCTTAACCAACTGAGTCATTCAGCTGGCCCGTACAGTAGATGTTTTAAAATAATAGGGGAGGATGAGGCCATTGGAGGAGATGACAAACTGCTGGTCACCTCCTGACCCCACTGGAAGGTGTTGGTGACCAGGGGGTGGGGGTGGGAATGGCAGGTGATGCGGAGCCTCTGGCTTTGGGATTGGAGAGTCTTCAACCTGACTTACTTCTTTAGTGTGGTTAAATGTGAATCCCGATGGCTTAGCCTTAAATACGCAAGCAGCCACCACAGCAGCAGCCCTGGGCACTGAGGATGGCCAGCTGCTCCTCGTCCTCCTGCGGAAACAAGAGTGGGTCATTGGGCAGAGAGGATGTGCCCTTTCACTCCCTGGCAATAAATTGATCTCTGGAGATCACTTTAAAATTATAGTGGATAAAAAAAATCTGGACAGGCTTCACTTGAAGATACCAACCCCAATGGAACTATAATTAACAAGCTGAAGGTTGTGAGAATCAGACGTGCCCTTTACAAACTGGGGATGTCATCTACTTGGTGTATAGGAATAACGAGTTGGAATACAACATGGCATACCTCTATGAATCTTTACATGAAAAACAAGGCATAACAATCTTTTGAGGCTGATAGAAAAAATGTATTCCTCATGACCAAAGATACTTCAGTTCCAGGTAAGCTGATGACCCCCAGATCTTGTCATGTTGCCTGCCCCTTAGGTGGGCTTTGAGAAATCACAGCCATTGACTCTAATGTCAGATCTCTTCAACACATCCTCCACCTCTTGCATAGAGTCGTCTTTTGCAAGGCAAGAGCATTTCTCCAGTTTCAAATCCTAGGGTGCAGGCATCCCTTTTGAAAGGATGTGGTCCATTTGTGGCAAATGATATCTCTAGCTTTGCTTCCACTCTCCCAGACAGAGCGGGGATGTCATTTTCTTTGCTAGAACCCCAGGATCAAGAGAATTTGGAGCCCGTTAGAAAGAAAATGAAAGAAGATGGGAAGCCTAATCTAAACATGCAGTTTGTTACATACCAGTATAGAAACACTCAAACTTGATGCAGCCATCAAGCCAGACATGATGGAGATACTCACGTGCATCATCTGTTAGGAGTTGCTGCACGACTATGAGACTGCAGTCCTGGAGTGCTTTTATTGTCTGACTGTAGAATCACTGGAAACACCATGTTGGGTTGCCGGTGAGGCCTGGGCTTTTTCTGAGAGCTGACATATCAGTATTGGCAGAATGTTCATGCTTCCTGGTTGCCAGTGGCTTAACATCCCATCCTGATTTCTGTTGGGAGCACAACTGCTGTACTCATACAAAAGTTTCATACAGTGAAATTCAATCATATTGGTGAATAGAACTTAAGTGTCAGGGAGGCACTGAGATTAGAGTATTGGTGGTCAAGGACAGTGTTTCAAAAAACTACCCAATATAAATATTTTAAGGGCACTTTTACAGTTCTCCACTCAGGGGAAACAGGAGATCTCTGGTGTGACTTTTATGGTTTTTCCTTCTGAGTAAGACCCTTCCTAGTAGCCTGGGGAGCCTTGTAAGGGCGACATCCTAACTTCCTAGTGTGTATTAGTAAGTTGAGTTATTACCATATGTAGGCCTAGGGCTCAAGTGGGCATGTTCTTGACCACTGTGGAACAAGGGCACAGCAGGCCCGGAGGTACTGGGCACAAGACATCTGCTTTGCTGGTTACTTGGGTCTTGGCCTGATGCATCACCACAGCTGAGCGCTCTTCCCTCTTGCTTTTCCATAGCTACAAGCTCCTCTCTCCTGCATATCTCCCACATTATTTCTTCCCTGCTTTCCAGTAATTGATGCCTTTGAGAGCATGGTTCATGGGGTAGGTATGGCAGGCCAAGGTTCAGGATGTGTGTGTGTAGTGGTGCCTCTGTCCCATGATGTTCTGGTCTTAACTATAACTACCGTATGCGTCTGTGGATCAGGCCCTTCTGGCTGAGACCCTGGAAGGGGAGTGAATGGTGCATTAGGGATCAGTACCAGCCGGTGTGATACTGGAAGCCTTTCATCTGTATGGCCACTGCTTTCTCTAGTCCTTGGGCTTGTCTTTTCCTTCTGTGTTACATTTGCCAAGTTATCTGCAATAATACTAGAAGTTATAGTTTTGGGAAAAAAAGTTTTTTGTTGAAATAATCTGTTATGTTAATAAAACTTAACAGCTTCGCTTCTTCTCAGGAAAACGATTTTTGACTATTGTCTTACTCATAATATAAAACTCTGAGAAGCAAAATTATTTGTAAAAGAAAGTCCTTTTTTGCATTCTAGTAAACAATCTGTGTTTATTTTTTAAAAAATTTATTTAAAGAAAGAATAAAAACACTGAGTAAGAGCATGGTGTCCTGACTGAAATAAACAAATTTTAGTGAATGGACTTCGACATTTATTTTGGTTATTTAAAGTTTTTTTTTACATTCTCAAATTACTTATTTTGATTAAAGTTTCTGTGTAAATGATTTCACTGTTGATGCTCATCCAGTAATATAGGTGCTATGCTATTTTCTTATTTTTTACATACCCATAAACATGTTTATAAGAAAATATACATAAAATAAGGGAAGAAAATTGAATAGAAAAGAGCATGAATAGACATGATTGGAGTTTGTAGTGATGAGAGAGCTGTTGGGGACATATTGTCGATGATTGCAGTCTCATTGATTTCATATCAAAAAGGGATTTGCATTTTTGGGGAGGGAATAAATTAGCCGAAAGTAGATGATCAGTAAAGTACATTCCTAGACAATATATGAGGTGTGATCAAACAATATGGTGAATATTTAAATTCAAAAAATTTATTACAGTAAAAGACAAATTGCCATTAATCCCCCTCAAAATACTACCCCCCATTTTGAACTCACTTATCCCATAGTTCTTGCCAGTTTCTGGAGCAGTTCTGGAAGTCCTCTTTCATGAGTGTCTTTAGTTGCACTGTCTTGGGTGCCTCGATGTCCTGAATCATTTTGACTTTGGAGAAGAGCCAGAAGTTGCATGGTGCCAGATCCAGTGAATAAGGCGGATGAGCACACACCATAATGTTTTTATTTGACAGAAATTGTACACCAGAAGCGAAGTGTGACACGGAGCATTGTCATGATGGAGGATGGTTTACTGAGTACTTTAAAACACACCTCTCAATCATAGCTCACACCCGACTGACTGCACCGAACAGGTTGAAACTTGTCCTACACTGTTACTGAGTTTCATGTGCCACTTCCTGTATTGAAGATCCCTGCCTTTCCATTGGATGGCACTTGGCAGCAGCATTCACCGTATTTTTTTAATCACACTTTGTATAATTTAGGGATAGGCACTGAAAGTATGATAAGTGACCAGCTGCAATTAATTACAAAATTGCGGTGCTAGCTAGCTTCCCCAATGAAAATGGAGAAATACTATGTCAGGGGAGGTTGTCAGTTTCCATATTTCTAGTGGTATAAAAAATTTTAATTTGAATGAAAGGGAAAAAGTCATAATATTGCCCTCTTGTCCTGTTTGTATAGTTAGTACATAATCACAGTATTTATTTGTGTAAAAGCCAGCAATTAAGAAGTAGATTTCTTGATTTGTATGTATATTTTCTCTTTCATCTAGGAAGAGTTTACATTCAGGAGGAAATAATCCAGGAAAAGGAAGAACAAGCAGATCAACATGTGTAGCTCTGTGGCTGCCAAGTTGTGGTTTTTGACAGATCGTCGAATTAGGGAAGACTATCCCCAAAAAGAGATCTTACGAGCATTAAAGGCCAAATGTTGTGAGGAGGAACTGGACTTTAGGGCCGTGGTGATGGATGAGGTGGTGCTGACAATAGAGCAAGGAAACCTGGGTAAGTCTGTACTAAGTAATTTTGGAGGTGGGGGGGGGGCGTTTACTTAGAATATGGTTAACTGCATGTTTTAGGAATAATTAGGACAAAGGAATTTTTAATAGCCTTATCATACTAAGTATTCTCTAATCTTAAGAAATGGAGGGGAGGCCGGTTAGTTCAGCTGGTTGGAGCACAGTGCTCATAACAAGGTTGCTGGTTCAATAGCCACATGGCCACTGAGATGCACCCTCCACAACTAGATTGAAACAACTACTTGACTTGGAGCTGATGGTCCTGGAAAAACACACTGTTCCCCAATCCAATTTAAAAAAATAAAATAAAATAAATATAAAAAAAAGAAGAAAGAAATGGAAACACCAGCATTTATGAAATTCCTTATTGTAGTATTTAGTAAATAGTAGGGAGGGAAATTAAAGATAACTTAGCTAGTTTTCTTTCATTATTACTGTCTTCTATTGGGTTGTCGGAAAAGTCATGACGCTTTTTGCAACGAAAAACAGAAAAAATAGTCATGACTTCCGACAACCCAATAGTTTTAAAATACCTTGTTTACAAGGTGCTTCTAAGGGGATTTGTAATCCATGGGGGTCCTTTTAGTAAATTAATCAAAGTTCACATGTGATTCTTACTGTTTTTTCTAAAGATTTTTTATTGGGGAATTGGGGGAGAGGAACAGTATTGGGGAATTGGGGAAGGGGACCAGCCAAGTTGTTGTTCTTCAATATTTGTTGTAGAGGGTGCCAGTCGCCATCTGGCTTCCCGTCGGCAGCTCGTGGCCTCTAAGCTCAAGGCGCTGTGTTCAGTCTTAGTTGCGGGTGGGTGTAGCCACCATCCCATGTGGGAGTAGAATCAGCAGCCTTGTTGTTAAGAGCACATGCTGTATCCACTGAACCATCCGGGCGGCATCTCAGCTCAAGGTGCCGAGTTCAGTCTTAGTTGCGGGTGGGCATAGCCCACCATCAAACAGGCAATCTTGTTGTTACACCAGCTGAGCCATCCTGACACCTGTTGGCAGCTCAGTGACAGCTCAGCTCAGGCACAGCATCACTAACCCATGTGGGAATCGAACCGGTGTCCCTGTTGCTCAGAGCTCACGCTCCTAAGCCAACTCAACCAATTGAGCCACTTGGCCGGCTCTATTTTTTTTCTTTATCAAAAACTTTACACATATATGGTGTAAAAGACTAATAGTTTTTTTTAATGGAACAAACTGTGCTAATGATTTGACTCAACTGATGATAAGTATGCTTAATATTTCATATTTGTTTTAGGATCACAAGGGGAAATATCTTGGAAATGTACAAAAATTCTTTAGGACTTTCAGCACACTTTACATCTTTGCTTTAGAAAGTTATGACTTGTTACACCTAAATTGGTTATTTCTGTTAGGGAGCATTATATGGGGCATAAAGTGGCATTTTTGATGAACTTTCAGAAAATACTTAATGGTTTAATGATAGTGTTGGGTAAGGATATAAGTAAGAAAAACACTTAAAATGCATTCTAGATCACTTACTTTGTGACAGGAATCATAATGAGGCCATGCATTTTAATTTTTTCAACAATAAAATGGAGATGGTTATTGTGAGAATTGATAATATACAAAGCACAAATCTGCTATTGTAGGGTAATTTCATTCATAAGCTAGTTAATAGATCCAGAATCTTGCCTGATTAATAACAGGATACCATAGATTTAAGTAAGTAAACTCTGTTAGGAAACATTCACTTTTTGTTCTCTGCCCTGTTAATATTTATCTCATTCTCAGTACCTTTTAGAAGTTATTGCTGCTTTATAAGTACCTGCTTTAGAAATGTCTCTAAGTTGTTGCAATTGAGTGAATAATTAGTTAATAACTACCTTTATATCAACACATATATCCTAGGATGCATTTTTCTAATTCTACAAAAAGCATTGTTGGGAATTTGCTGGGGGATTGCGTTGACTCACTTTGGATTCAGTTCATTACTTATTCTTTAATTTCTTTCAACAGTGTTTTATAGTTTACATTGTACAAGTATTCACCTCCTTGGCTAAGTAAATTCCTAAATATTTTTATTCTTTTTGATGCTATTATAAGTGGAATTGTTTTTGTAATTTCATTTTTAGATTGTTCATTGTGTATAGAAGAAATGCAGTTGATTTTTGTGTATTGATTTTTTTATCTGCTACTTAGCTGAATTTATTGGTTTTAACAGCTTTTTTGTGGAGTCTTTAGTGTTTTCTCCATATAAGATCATATTATCTGTAAAAAGATAAGTTTACTTCTTCCTTTTCAATTTGGGTGTTTTTTGTTTCTTTTTCTTGCCTAATTGCTCTGGCAAGAATATCCGGTAGTATGTTAAATACCAGTGATGAAAGCAGGCACTCTCGCCTGGTTCCCTCACCTAGAGGAAGAGCTTACAGTCTTTTACTGCTGTATGATGTTTGCTGTGGGATTTTCATATATGGCTTTTATTATGTGGAGGTAATTTTCTTCTATTCCTATTTTGCTGTGAGTTTTTATCACTAAAAGGTGTTGAATTTTGTTAGATGCTTTTCCACATAATTTGAAATGATCATGTTTTTCTTTTCCCTTCATTTTGTTGATATAGTATATTACATTGATTGGTTTTCATATGTTGAATTGTCCTTGCATTCTAGGAATAAATCTCATTTGGTTATGATGTATAATCCTTTTACTGTGCTGCTGGATTCTGTTTGCTAGTATTTTGTTGAGGATTTTTGCATCAGTGTTCATACGGGATATTTGTGTAGTTTTCTTGTAGTGTCTTTATTTTGTTTTGTTATCAGGGTTATGCTGGCCTCATGAGTTAGGAAGTGTTCCCTTCTCCTCAACTTTTTGGAAAAGTTTGGGAAGGATTGGTACTAGTTCTTTAGATGTTTGGTAGAATTCACCAAGTGAAGCCATTAGGTCAGCTGGTCCTAATTAATTGGGCTAATTCTGTCTCTGGCACTTCTTTTCCATCGGTGCATTAGTAGACAAACCTATCCCCAAATAAAGTTATTTCATATAAGTAAAACATATAAATTTATTCTGGACATTTTCCTTTTCTTATTTTTTTTTTAAGGTTTTATTGGGGAGTTCGGGGAGGGGAACAGTATTGGGGAATTGGGGAAGTGGAACAGCCAAGTTGTTGTCCTTCAATCTTAGTTGTGGAGGGTGCAGCTCCAAGTCCAGTCGTGCTGCTCAGCTCAAGGTGCCGTGTTCGGTCTTAGTTGCAGGCAGGCGTAGCCCACCATGCTCTGAGGGAATCGAACCGGCAGCCTTGTTGTTAAAGAGTGCACGCTCTATCCATTGAGCCATCCGGGCAGCAGCTCAGCTTAAGGTGCTGAGTTCAGTCTTTAGTTGCAGGTGGGCATAGGCCACCATTCAAACTGGCAGCCTTGTTGTTAGGAGCACGTGCTCTCACCAGCTGAGCCATCCTGCGACCTGTTGGCAACTCAGCGGCAGGTCAGCTCGGGGCACAGCGTCACTGGCCCATGTGGGAATTGAACCGGCAACCCTGTTGCTCAGAGCTCGCTTTCTTGGGCAAGCTCTTAACCAACTGAGCCACTCAGCCGGCGCTGGTCATTTTTCTTAAATATTCCCCTGGAAGTTTCCTGTTAGTTAATTGCAAATGTAGGAGAAGGGAGTAGTTTGAGAGCACCTACTATATACAAAGCATAGCACTAGGCATCTTAGGTACATATATCTTCCCCCCCCCTTTTCGAAATACCAATAAGTTTATATTTTTCTTTATTATACAAATGATACAGTATCAAAATATAAAGATGAAAGCAAATATCTGAAATTTTGCCATCTGTAGATTAATCACACATATACATGATGTTATAACATAACATACATGCTGTTCTTTAAATTTGTTTTACATGTCAAAGTGATTCATATCTGTGTGCCAAGACACTGTACTAGGCACTAGAGATGTAGAGCTTAGCAAAATAGCATAGTCCAACTGGTTCATGTCTTCTTTAAGCTAAATGACTTTAAGCTAAAGTCAAAGAAATAGTTACACACTAATTCTTATAAAGGAAAGTACGTTGTGACATGAGAGAGTACACCAATGGCATCTTGTTTAGGTAGGGAGATCAGAGAAGATCTTTTTAAGGAAGTGACACTAAAAACCTGAAGGATGAGTAGGTGTTATCCAAGGGTAGAGTGAGAGGAAGAGTATGTGCGTTGCTCTTAGGTAGGATTTCTTTGCCATAAATTCCTAGAAGAGGGAATCACTCTTCATTGCCGAACTGTCCTCCAGAAAGGTACTAATGTGCCTCTTTCCAATATTCTCTCCAGTGCAGTTGTTTTCATTTTAATGTTAGTTAGAAAGGGAATGGCCCAGGTTGAGTTGCTTTCTGCTTAATCTTTTGGGAACTTGGGTGTGATTCCCAGCCCAGCTGGACAGTGGGATATACAGTTGGGTATTTCCTTAAGTAAAAAAATAAGCTGTTAAGTATTCAAAGGAAAAACCTTCAGTATCTTCAATCATCAGGAAGATACATGTTTTATGAACTCAGATCTTCCCTGCTGACCTTCCTCCTATTATCAAAGTAGTAGTGAGATTGATTGTATTTAGTCTGCATGCTAAGTCAGTCTATATTTTTGTTATTAATTCTTCAGTGAGATACCTGAATGAAATTTTATCTTCTCTACCAGTAGTATCAAGTGACTATACCTGTCTTATCAGAGTGTTTGCCTGTCCTTTTCCAAAGTAGTTCAGGAAAGTGAAGGAATTGGATTAATTGTACCTCTAATGCTTTAAACTCTTGTACATTTAGGGATCAACTTGCTCTTGTAAATGGCTATAGTTTTATATGCGATGCTGAGTATTATAAATTAGTATATAGCTGTATGACCAAAACTCAGATAAATTACAGACAATTGAAGTGAGATAAACTAGGAAATGTGACATTCTTGTAAATAAATAAGCAGGTCCTTATTTATAAGTGTCATGTAAAAATAATTCCCTTCATTATTTATTATTCCATAGCTTTCAGTT